AAAAAAAGAAACAAGTCAGACAGACAAGGACAAATATCGTATGACCCCACTTACATGAGGTACCCAGAGTAGTTGAAGTCACAGAGACAGAAAGTAAACGGTGGTTGCTGGGGTAGAGGGAGGGGAGAATGAAGAGTCAGTGGCTAATGGTTATGGAGTTTCAGTGGTGCAAGGTGAAAAGAGTTCCAGAGATTGGTTGCACCACGATGTGAATGTACTTAACACTACTGAACACTACTGTACACTTAAAAATGTTTAAGAAGGTATATTTTATGCTATAAGTGGCATCCCGTAATGGCTTGCTAGTCACAGTGTGATCTGTGGGCCAATCAAATCAGCATCTCCTTGCAGCTGGTCAGCAATGCAGCATCTGAGGCCCGGCACAGACCTGCTGAATCAGAACCTGCATTTTTTAACAAGAGCCCCCCAGGTGGCTCGTGCACGCACTAAACTTTGAGAAGGGCGAGTTGTAACGCACTGAATATTACACCAGGGTTTAGAAGACATAGCAGACACTGTTTGCCTACCCAGCATCCATTTCCTCTCTTCTTTCTCACTTCTTACAGAACCCAGTGTTCTCTGAGCAGCCTCGTGCTTCAGGGAGGCTGACTTCATCCACACCCCCACAGTGGTCTCAGTCCCCTGGCCACACCTGGTTTGGTTCTGGCCAATGAGACCAAAAGATGTCCTGCTGGACAGTTTCTGGGAAAGGTTGCCTGCCCTTAAGCACACCTAAGAAGAAATGGCCTCTCCTTCCCTTGGAAGTTTTCATATTGGGATAGGATCTGAGCAAATTCTGTGGGGGTCCTGAGACCTCAGGGGCAGCTAACCTAGTCCTTGATAACACAGAGCCACTGACTGATAAAATCCTGGGTCCACCTCGTTAGAGGATTTCTGGTTCTGCAAGATTGGAAATGTGTTTATTGTTTAAGACCATGCGAGACAGGATTTTCTATTACTTGTAGCTCAGGGTTTCTCAACCTTGACGCTATTGACACTCGGGGCTGGATAATTCTTTGTTATGGGGACTGTCTTGTGTCTTGTGCAGCATCCCTGGCCTCTACCCACTAGGTGCCAGTAGCTTTTCCCACTCCCCCAGTTGTGACAACTAAAAATGTCTCCATACACTGCCAAATGTTCCCGAGGGAGCCAAATCTCCCCCCGTGGAGAACCGCTGTTGCAGCCAAAGGCATCCTAAAGCATGCAAAGCCCTTTTATTCTGATCCCTGGTGGACTTAGGAGGGTAAAAATCACTCCTGAGGTAGTTCAAAGATCAAAGTGAGATCAGGTGTGTGGGAAAAGCAAACACACACAGGTGTTGCTAATCATTACCTGTCTTTGATGCCATTAGTGCATTGATAACAATGTTGTAGTTTCCAGTTACTCTTCGAAGAGTAGCAGGCAGAGCTGTTTAACTTAACAGATGGCCAGCATGGATAGTGGATGGAATTTTCCCTCAGCAAAGTTTATGTGGCTCTTGAGACTTCCAGGCTTTTCCTTGCTCAGAAATTCTAGACTCTTAACCAGCCCAGCCCTGAGCCGGCCACCAATCCCAATTCATTGTCCCATGAAGCCATGGGCTCTGTGGAGTTCACCTGTTAATGCTGGTGTATAACACCATTTTGTATTAGGACCTGGAGGAGAATAAGGTGGGGACAGGGGCAGGAACACATTCTGTCACAGGGAGACATGGATGCATTTGATCATTCATGTCATCAAGTGCTTACCATGTGCCAGACAATACTAGGCACTGGGGCTGGGCTTGGGTGGGGAGCAAAGGCTATTTGGAGGCAGCTGCAGCCCTTGGGGGCCTCACAATCTACTGGAAAATGTGTAGTGAACTTTGGGTTTCTCTTCTAACATGTTCCCATATTAGGATACAGGGTTGCCCCCCATCCCCACCCCTGCAGCCCATCAGCTTTGAGGGCAACTGAACACCCCTGCTGAACCCAGAGGTAGAACACACGTGTCAGACCACTGTTGTTTTAGGGGCTAGAATGTTACAATCTGTACCAGAGAAGAGGGCCTCTAAGGAAAGACAGCTCTGTGTTCTTTTGAAGGAGGGGGAGTGGCTTGCAAAAGCAATACCAGCTCCTCCTACAGCCCACTTATTTCCACCAAGGTGTTCAGCTGAGGCCAGAGCCGATACAGAAAGGAAGGCTGAGTCAAGAGAGCTGCCAGGAAATCAAGCTGAAGCCTTGATCAAACCACACCTGATCTACCTCTGGACTTTCTGGTAGCATGTGCTAAATAAAACCTCTTGATTGTATAAGCCGATTTAAACTGGATTTTCTGTTACTTGCATCACAAACTGTCCAAACTGAAACAGACTTTGGTACCAGGAAGGGGATGCTACAGTGAACAAACCTTAAATGTGGATGGGCTGAGAAGAGATGTTCAGGCAGACAGTAGCAAGGTTGTCTGTATCAAACTAGAACGACGGCAATCCTTTTTCAGCAAAACGGCCGTTTACGCCGGGATACAGACCTTATGTTTATGGAGACCATGACATTTGGACATCTTCTAGAAAATATTCAGGATGTTCCCTACCTCTGGCAGTCTTCATTAAGGTCCTAGAAGACTCAACTCTAAGGGAAGGTGGCCCATTTGAAGGTGGAGAGGGCTGAAAACACAGCTTTGCTAAGTGAGGTCCTTTCTGCCCATGGCCTGCAATCTAAAGTGATGGAAACTGATGAGCAAGTCCTGCTGGGTTGGAGGAGCTGATTTATCTGGCTAAAGTTAGAGCATTGGCAACAAGTGGGTGACTTAGCAAGAGAAAAGATTGGGGCCCTGGCAAAACATTATCCCCAATTCTCAGGTCTCACCCAAGCTTCTTGTCTTAAGGACACCAAGCTTGGTAAAGGGGACTGTTGACTTATTGTGAAGATGCAGCTGGGATAGAGCTGAGGGGCAGGGAACAAGTGTGGGGTGCCGCCCCACTTCAGATAAACGAAGATGCCTCTAATCTGAGGGGCAGGACAGTGGGCAAGACACAGAGGCCAGTCGCCAGCTCAAGGATTCTGGCCTGAGAAGATCTCCGGCTCTGTTCAGCCCATGGACTTGAACAGAAGAGACACATTAAATTCTTAAGGGAGTTGCTAAGGAATGTGGCCATTATGGCCTGAGATTGCCCATCCTTCAGGACAATCCCTCAACTTGTACCCACAAGAAGTGGAGTGCTAAAACAGTGAGTCTCCTGGGAAGGCATCGACCCCATGCCCACTCACATGTTAACAAGGCGGAGGACAAGGGAGATACACCCAAACCCAGAACTGGGGGCGCCATATTGCCTGACCGGGGACCTCGCTTCACCACCAGGGGAGGGAGTCCTCAGTGTTTCCCTTGGGCGAGATGTTGTGTGTACTGTTGACCAATGACAGTTGAATGTGTTTCCCATTCTTCTCTTCTCCAAATGGAAAATCTATTGCATATATCCTTGGCTGTTTTCTTTCCAGCATTGCTGGCTACGTGGATGGTGTGAACTTCAGACTGTAGTTCTTTGGTTATCAGACCATGAGTAGCTATCTCCAGACATGATGGAGAGTATGCTGCATCTCCCAAAAACTATGACCTTGACTCTGGATCCAGGAGCTGGATGATTTACAGGGTTGCTTTGGGGAATGGGGATGAGTCTATTTTAGCCAAGAATGGGTATTTCTAATGATTATGTGAAGGAAGAAGAAGGTGTGGATGTGAGTAGCCAAAGAGCTGAAACTGTAGTGGGACATTAAGGTTGTTGCTTTCACACTCACCTCCCCTTCTCTGGATAGTAATCCTGAATTTCTTCAGATAACTATACCTGAATTCACAACTTGTGTGGTTCAAAGAAAGCTAACTCCACTTCCAGATCTAGGATCAGGGCTTATGGCTGACACTGAGCTCACGCTGGTGATGCCATGCAGATTGTGGGGCCTGGATGAGACATCTGCCTGGAACTTCTAAGAGACCAGTTCTCTCTTTCTTCCTTATTTTGGGGTGGAGTTGTTGGGTCATACAAGTGCTAGACCAGCCATCTCACCAACCAAGACCAAAGCCAACACAAGGAGGGAAAGCTGGAAGAACCCCCTGAGAAGTGGAGCTGTGAGCCTGATTGCACCAGCCTCACCCTTCCCCTGGGCTTTGGAGCCATAGAATGTCTTCTTGACTATGCATGGAGCCACGTTGAAGAGTTGTCTATTACTTGCAACAATCAACTCTAATGGAGTGTGATGAACGCTAAAATAAAAGTACGACAAATGTATTGAGTGGTTAGGAGAGAAGGCAGGTTAATTAGCTTAGAGAAGCAAGCTGTTGCTTTAAGCATTTAGGGTGGGAAAAGTTGGAAAGGAACCTGCTGCAGTTCTTAACATGCTTAATGCTAAGAACTGCAGCAGGTTAACTTAATGTTAACTTAGTGTTGACTTAATGTGATTTATTTGACCTGTCCGTGGCCATGATCATGCTTCTCTTTGTCCTTCCAGGTGGGAATGGATGTGTCAAGGCCTTCTGTGCAGGGCCGTGCACCCGGCATTTAACAGTCCCTGGGAAATGCTGGGTGATGGGAGGGATTCTGCTGTCTGCTACCCTAGTGGGCTGAGGGGGTTCCCCAATGTCCACTCACACTGTGAGCATCAGGCACCTGCTAATCCTTTTTCTTCCCCACTGCTGTTGCAGGAGGTGGATCACATGTCTCCCAGGCTGAGAGCCTTCCTCTCTGAACCCATCGGAGAAAAGGATGTGTGCTGGGTGGATGGGGTCAGCCATGAACTTACGATCAATTTGGTCACCAAAGGTTTCAACAAGGTAATTTGTTTTTTCTTATGTTTCCAACTTCTCTTCCCAACCTCTCTTCCCCGAGTCCTGCCAAATGGCAGCTCCTGCCACGTGTCCCTGTGAAGGGCCATCAGAGAGCAAAGCTGCCACTTGGCAGGGTGCCACATGCTTCCGTGCTACTGACCCCACATGCTTGGGCAGCCTCAAGGGCCCACAAATGACGGGCAAATAAAATCGCCTCGGCTCAGAGCAGCTGGTCTGGGCATGATTCGCTTGGTGTTCAGACACTCAGGGGTCGACAGAAGTGGGCCAGCCACCAGAGTTTGGGGCACAGCTGTCAGGATGGATGACGTGGGTGCACTCCCCACCCCCACGAAGGGACACATGGAATCTTGCTTGCCCACATCTGGGCACCAGCCTGGCAATGGCAGGTGGAGAAACAGCAGCCTGGGGTCTACACCAGAGTGAGGGGATGTGAGTTACTCTAAGATGTCATTCCCAAAGAGTGGCCTCAAGGATATCCCATAGAATCTTCACATTCTTTTCAGATAAGTAAATAATTTACTGTTATGGGGCTGTTTAAAAGCTGCTTAGAACCTCAGGAGAGAATGGGAGACAGTCTCAAAGAGCATCCGCAGGCAGTGGGCACAGACACAGCAGGCTGGGAACTCACGCCGACCATCGCGCACCCAGTCAGGATGGGCACCTACTAGAGCCATTGCTCTTAATTCCCTTCAGCTTGCCAAGTCAGTCTACACCACCAGGCAGAAACACTCAAAGAGGCTGGCAACTGCTGCACGCATGGCTGGTGATAAGTTTGGTTTGCACCTGAATCTGAATTTCTGGACCTGTGGTTTTCTGACTGACTCGCTGTTCCGCACCAATTGTTGACTATTCTGAATGTCACCCCAATTGACCAGCCAATTTAATATCCAATAGGTGGTATTGTCAGGAACTGGAGCTCCACAATTGAGGTAGATGTGATTCTTTCCTCCCAGATAAAGGAGATAGGACTATTCCCTAGGGGAGACATTTTAAATTAAAAATTCTCTTTTAAAATAAATGATTTTCCTTTTACTTTTCTATTGTGATGTTGCATATATAGGGGAATGTGCATTGATATGAAGGGTTCAACTCAATGAGTTTTTACATATATGTACATCCATGTACCCACGACCCAGATTCCACCATTGGACACTTCTAACATTCCAGATGGTTCCCTCGTGCCTCTTCCCGGGCAGTGCCATCCCCTGTCCCCAGAGGTAACCACTGAAATTCTGACATCGAACACCATCGATTTAACGTCTCCATAATTAAGGGGGTTTGTTGTTGTTATTTAACTATGCTCATCATTTAAAAAATATTTTTATTAAGGTATAATTTACATACAGTAAATTTCACCTGTTTTAGCACACAGTTATACAAATTTTGACAAATGCATATAGTCATACAGCCACTACCACAATCAAGACATAGAATAATCTTATTTCTGCAAAATATTCACTTCCAAAATATTCATTTGCTTCTTCGAATTCACTGTCCTTAGTCTCTGGCAACCACGGATTTATTTTCTGTCCTTGTGGTTTTGCCTTTTCCAGCTTAACTCTGTATGTGTGTGTGTGTGTGCGTGTGTGTGTGCGTGTGTGTGTTTTCAGGAGTATAGGTGGGATGACAGGCAGGTTTAAGACAAAAGAATGAATAATGGAAAAATTTCAGGCTCCTGAGAACTTGCTTACATAGAGTCAGGGCTGCAGGGATGGTTTGTCCATGTGCAGCCCAGTCCTTGGAGACACGTCCCTCTTGTGCTCACGACCTCCTGGCCAGGGCAATGAGTGGCGCTCACTCTAGACCCTGCGTATTGCTGGAGCCACTAATTCCTGGCACCGATATTGGAGATGTCACCTTTATCCTCTGCTTTGGGCCTCCCCTGCTTTGGGCTGAGAAAGTTGTCACGATGCAAGGGTGGGATGTGAGGCGGTGTTTGCTCACAGTGAAGAGACTGAGGCAGGGCATGCTGCCAGCTACCCCTCAGCAGAAAGCAGCAAAGATAGAGGATGGCATGAGGCCCAGAAAGATGTCCCCCTGCCGGGTCCCCCCACCAGGATTAGGTCCCCCATAGGCAAGGTATAAACATACAAGAACTTGCATTTTGATCAGCTCGATATGAGAACCCAGCCCTGCCGGGATTTGCCTGCCCCAGACACTCTGATTGCTGGCCCTGCCCATGGACCCATCCTCCCCAAAGCACGTGCTCATCTTCTAGGGGCCACATCTATGTGTCCTCCTAGATCCTCCTACAGGCCCAGTCAGGCCCCAGACCCTCATAGGAAATCACCTGTTTCCTTCCCCCTTTTTACTGTGGCTACCAGAATACTTAAAAGTACATATGTGGCTGTCTCCCCTTACATTTCTACTGGACAGCACTGGTCTAGATTTAATGGTCGAAGGGCTGCAAGGGGGAAACGAACTCTGGAAATGGTAAAATCCATCATGCCCATGATGTAGCCACACTGGCTCTAGCTCCGTCTTATTTCTCTGTCCATCCCCATACTAGAGCCAGACTGTCCGTGAACCACACACATACAAGAGCCACCCTCCTGCCAACCTGGTCCCCTCCAAGGCCCCACACAGCCCACCTCCTTCCTTCTGCCACTTTGCAAACGAGCTCGTTTTCTGAGCACTTTGAATTTTCAGCGGGGCGCTCTTGCTGTGATGCAGGGGGGAGAAAGAAGAAAGGGCAAGACCTGCACTGGACAGAGTGTCCCCACTGAAGACACAGAGCTTTGAACCTGAACTGACTGAGAGATACTGGGTTTGTAAGGTTGCCATTGGCCATCCGAGGGCACGAAGACGTAAGAGCCAATGAATGGGGACAGAAAACCAGAGAAAGCTGTGTCATTGCATCCCGGAGTCTTGTGGCGATGTGAGGTACATTCAGTGTAGGTGCCAAGGAGCTGGGGACTTAGGCAGAGGAAGTGTCAACAGCTTGAGAATGAGAGAGGCCAGGACAACTTGTCTCTGTTCGACGAGGCCAGGTGTCACTGTGAGGACTGAAGGTTACAGGGACTGTGGACCAGGGCCAGCTACCTACTTTGCAGGGCCCAGTGCAAAATGAAAATGTGAGGCCTCTTCTTTAGATTCACTGAGAGTTTCAAGATGGCAGGAGCAGAGCATTAAATCAAGTCGAGGGCTCTGCTGAGTGCCAGGCCCTGTGTGACAACACGAATCACATGCATGGGAACCGAGCCTGGTATAGATGCAAATCACTGCCGTTTAGCAAGGAATGGACACAGCGAACTGGAGGGTGTTTCCTCCTCTGCTTGGGACAAAGCCCTGGGTGAGCTTGGCTGTTTGCACTTGGAGTTGAGGGGAATTCTGCCCTCGAGGCCCCATCTTGCTGCCTTGGGGAGGAACGTGCCAGCTTGGCTTGGCCATGGCCATTGTCCAGGGCGGTGGGAGGCTAGGGACATCTGTTCAGAGTTTCTGTGTTTCTACGTCACCCTGACTGCAGCTGGGTTTTGCGAAGCTTCACCCAAAGAGGGAGAGGGGGCAGTCTCTCTTCTCCTTGGTTAGGGGCTTGCTTCCTGGAGCCCGTGGAGAAGCCAAGCAGGCATCTGGCAGGGCCAAACAGGAGCCTGTGACTCCAGCTTCCCCGGGGAGCAAGGCGAAGTCCTCAGGGATAAAGCCAGGAGGCCGGCCAGCTTCCCTCCCACCCACTGGAAGACGCCAGGGGGAGACCAGAGGGAAAGCTGAGGAGGGAGCATCAGGTTGCATCTTGGCCCTGGAGCCTGAAAGACGAGGCCCTTCTCCCTGCAGGATTCCTGGAAAGTTAGCTCGGGTCCTGCGTGCCACACATTCCCGGCGTCCTGGCTGCTGAACCCAGTGGGGACGTGGAGGCTCCCATTACCAGCCAGCTGACGCAGCGGTGCTGCCTCCGACATGGGCAGAGGACGCGTGGGACGTGCAAGAACAGTGCAGAGGAAAACAGGAGTCTTGACCTCTCTGTTCTTAGTGACTCCACCTGGGGAATTGGGGGTAGGGCACACGTGAGGATCACGTGGACTAAAGCGTGTGTGTGTGTGTGGGGGGGAGTCTCCAAAAGCACGTGGCCCCCCGAACATGCTCAGAAGTGCTACTTACCATTCATTGTTACCATTAATGTCTCTGTCCTTGGACAGAGCTCCATGTAAGCCACTTACTATTAATTATTATTATTATTATCAGTAATGTTCTTTCTCTGTGGACAAAGCTCTATGTCTCTTGTTCCTGTTGTATTCACCTGGGCACCTCCTGCACCTATGGCAGCTGGCTCAATTAACCCTTAATAAACATTAATTTTTTAAAACATTGATTTAAAAACATCTCAGTAAAATCCGCCACTGAAAACGGGAGCATACTGTAAAAGTAAAATGAGATCGTGCTAAGCAACTACATTGCTTTTTTGAAAAGATGATTAAAGTAGCAGTTCAAAAATCACCAAGAAATCCTGGCGTTTTTCTCTTTTCAATAACTGGATCATGACTAAAAATAAACACCCCAAACTCCAATGCTTGAATACATTTTATGACCGGGATTCAGCTTTTATTTGATTTCTCTTTTTTAAAAAATATGTTCCCTTTGGTTAAGATGAAGTTGGCTTGATTTTACATAACTGAAAGTAAACAGACACCAGTGGGTTTTCCTGGCCAGGGCCCAGAACCCAGAGGTGTGGGTGGACGCTGGTTCTCGTTCGTTCCGGGCTGGAGAGGCCCCAAACCAGCCCCGAGAGACGGGTATCTAACGTGACTTGAAATCTGCAGCCTCTGCCATTTAGTGGCTTGGACAATTTATGGCCACATGATCATGGGAAGTCCCTTTCTCTGCGTGGTTCTTGCTCCTTGTCCACATGGTGTGATAAAATTGTAGAAGATCAATGAAAAGCTGTGGGGGCAAGTAATTAGAAAAGTGGAGAATGCCATAGAAACATGAATCATGGTACACTTAATGTTTATCTCGTGTGTGTGTTTCACCCACAGAGAGAGACTCAGGACGGGAGAGATGGGCGAGGTTTAGCGTGTTTTAAACCTTCTAAGCTCCTCCCACAGGGCTGCAGCTCTCAGCACAAAAGAGGAATCTGCATTTTTCAACTGCTTTCCCATTTAATTCACATAATTTAATTTGCAGGGCGGGTCACGTGATGTGCTTAGGAAGGTGCAGACACTGAGATGTAGGTCCTCACTTCAGGTTATGCGAGTTTGCCTGAGATCACACAGGTGGTTTGCAAAAACAAATCGATGCCAAGATGCTATTCATCTGCCAGCCCCATGTGCAGTGCTTCTTAACTGAGAGCGACTGTGGCCTCGAGGGGACATGTGGCAGTGTTTGGAGATGGTAATGATTGTCACTGTTTGGGGATGGATAGGGAGGATGCTACTGGCATCTAGTGGGTAGAGACCAGAGATGCTGCTAAACATCCTAGGATGCACAGGACAGCCCCCACAACACAATTATACAAAATGTCAACAGCACCGAGGTTTAGAAACCCTGTGCTACAGCAGCTGGGAAAGTAGTGGGGAGGGGAGCGTCTGTTACTCCATGTTGTGTGTGTTCTAAAGAGAGAAATACTACACCAGAGACTTGAAGGGAGCCCCAGACGTATGGTAGGCCCCCACTACTCAAAATGTTGTCCCTGGACCTAGATCAGCTGGAAATACGTTAAAAATGCAGGACTCTCAAGCCTCATCCCAGACTCAGACTTTCGGAGCTAGAACCTGCATTTTAACAAGAACCCAGGTGATGCATATGCTCGTTACAGTTTGCAGAGGATGGGGTTTGGTTTATCCCAGGCTGGACAGCCCCCAAACCACCCTGGGAGATGGGCATTTAACTCGGCCCTACATCTCACCAGGAGCCTGTCCCCGAATCTTCACGGCCCAAGTCAGGACTTCAGGGGCTGACCATCTCCCTGGAATGTGACCTGGACCCTGCTCCTTTGATTTTCACACGAGTCCTGGTGGTTGGGGGAGGAGGAGCACATCTGAGCCGGTTTATTGTAATCTTTCCCATTTCCCTCCCTGCCTTGTCCCCTCCCCAGGCCTACATCCTGTTGGGACAATTCCTTCTGATGCACAAGAACCAAGCGGAGTTTCAGAAGTGGCTCATTTGTTGTTGCGGCGCCACCGAGTGTGAGGCCCAGCAGAGTTCCAACTGTCTCAAGGAGTGGTGCGCTTGCTTCCTGTAGACACAAGCCCAAGGCCAGCAGACGGGCCCCTGGATGCAAAGCCGCTCAGCTGTGCCCAGCCTGGACCAGCCAGCCCTCAGCTGACTCACAGATGTGTGAGGGAGAATAAAGGATTACTATTTAAAGCCACCAACATTTGGGACAGTTTGCTATGTAGCAATATCTAACCGATACATTCTTTGTAGTCGAAAATGTCCTCACCCTGCCAAGGTGTGCTGCATCGAAGTGCAACCTAACTCTAGATGGAGATGCTGCCCGGGGTGGGAGGAGGAACACTGCTTCCAGGGCCAGCCGGGTGCAGGTGTGAATTCCAGCTCTGCCAATCACCACCTTATCCTGGGTGAGCTGCTTTACCCTCACTAAGCCTCGGTTTCCTCATCTGTAAATGGGGCAAGAAGGTAATAACCCTACCTTGCAGGGTGGATCAATGAAAGCAGTAAAGGACACGGTGTAGGCAGAATATGATGAGGGGCCACCGCTGTCTCCGCTCCTGGAGTTCTCTTTCCAGGGCCAGCCTCCTGGGCACTTGGGAGAGAACTCACAGCTGTGAATTGGAAGGGAACTTAGATATCAGTATATCCAATCTAGTCCAATTCTGCCCCAACATATAAGTACTGGACACCATATAACTGTTAGTATATATTCTTTAATGGGTAGGTAAGAAAGGACAACAGACGTAAATCAAATTATTTCAGATTCTGGCTATGATCTTATAGGGTCACATTAGCCCACAGGTCCCCAAAGGCGTTTTAACGGACACACAAGAGGACTGGGCTGGCATGTGTTATATATCCTCAGCCCTGCCGGTGGTGCGTCTTCTACTTGGCTGGGAGGTTGTTTTGATCATTTGAGACAGGGTTGGTGCCTGTCCCAACTTATCAATTGTCATGGATTTGACCAGCGTCTTAAACAAGAGCTGAAATGTCTGTAAGGAAGAGGGCTTGGCCCTCCTCCTGCTGGTTTGACCACTGTGTTTGGAGGTATCCGTGAATCAGTGACTGGTTTGGATTAGGATTTACGGAGTGTCTAGGCCGTAAGCATGGTCAGGTGCTGTGGGAGAGGCAGGGGAAATAACGTATGCGTGTCTGCGGCTCACCGGGGGGCTCACGCCTTAAGGGGCGACTGGGGGAAGGCAGCCCACACAGCAAAGGTGCCGACAGGTCTGTCTTTCTTTGGGCTCTCCTGGAAGCAGACCTGGAGACAGCAGCCTGAGTGAAAATGGTTTATTCGGGAGGTGCTCCCAGTAAATGCAGCTAGGACAGTGGGACTTGTGGCAGGGAGGGAAGACAGCCAATAAAGGTGTGCTATCACCTCTCATCACTGTGGGCGACCGGCTCAGTCCTGCTGGGCCATTCTGGGAGCCAGTGCAGAACAAGCATTTATTTATTTTAATTTTTTTTATTTCAGCATATTACGGGGGTACAAATGTTTAGGTTACATATATTGCCTTTGCCCCACCTGAGTCAGAGCTTCAAGCGTGTGATCTAGAGCAAGCATTTAAAGTTATACCACACTGGGCTAGCTAAATACCACTCTTATCAGTTGTTTGTGGAAGGCTGCTCCCACAGGAAGTTAATTCCTCAACTCCCGAGCCTGGGGAGAGGGAACCTCAGTGAGAAAGTGATCAGGCTAAGAAATGCAGGCCCTGGCAGCTGGAAGTGGCCAGCCCCTGCCCTGAGGTGGCACGGGCAGGCAGATGAGGTGACACTGCCAGCTGCTGCCACAGGTGGGTGTTGAAGTGGGACAGGCCTGGCTTTGAAGACAGAATCTGCCCCTTACCACCAGTTGCAAGGCCTTTGGAAAGCCACCCTCTCGGCCCAGCTGCCCAGCTGTAGAATGGTGACAATATTATCTACCCAGGGGTTGGGAAGATTAAAATCCTTGCACCTGGTAAAAGCTTCGTGTGTGATAGCTCTAAAAACCTGCACAGTAGGATGTGCAGCCCTACTATTCACAAGAGCCAATATGGAATCCACCCAAGTGCCCACCAGTGGATGAAAGGATGAAGACAATGTGGTATGGATACATACTGGAATATAATTCAGCCATAAAAAGAATGGAATCCTGTCGTTGGTCGCAACATGGATGGAATTGGAGGTTATTATGTTAAGTGAAATAAGCCAGGCACAGAAAGATAAATACTGCCTGTTCTCACTCACATGTGGAAGCTACAAAAGTGGATCTCATGGAGGTAGAGGGTGGAATGGTGGTTACCAGAATCGGGGAAGGGAAGTGAGGAGGGAGGATGACAAGAGGTTGATTAATGAGAACAACAACAGCAACAACAACAAGAACAAAAACCAGAAGGAATAAGACTTAGTGTTCAATAAATCAGTAGAGTGATTATGGTAAAAAATAATCTATCATACAGTTCAAAATAGGTAGTAGAAAATAATTTGAATATTTCCAGCATAAAGAAAAGACAAATGTTTAAGGTGATAGATATTCCAATTATCCTGATGTAATTATTACACATTATATGGATGTATTTAAATATCACATGTACCCCTCAAATATGTATATACATTATGTATCAATAAAAAACATCTTCGAAAATGTGCAATACTGATTGTGTATTGTTATTAGAAGGGAGAGGTTGGTGTGGACCGGAGTGGCGGGGCAGGCTCCTAGTTGGAGGTGACACTTGAGCTTGCTGTTAGAAGTGGAGGCCAGGCTTGAATGAGCCGAGAATGGAGACAGGGAGGGGAGATGGGGAGGGGAGGGTCCATTGGGGGGAAGACTAACCCTACTGGCCTAGGGAGAGTGAGTTGGGGGAATCTGTAGGGACAGGTAAGGGTTAGGGCTGGATTCTGTAGAGCCAAGGGGCTTCCTTCTGTCACCCCCAGACAGAAACTGGGTGTGAGCTGGTAGCTGGCCCAGTTTGAGAAGCCAGTCACTGCAGGGTGGCCGTCCTGAGGAGAGCTTAGTGCCCTGCAACTGTCAGTGGGGACAGTTCCGATCACCTGTACTGATAACCCAGAATGTGGCAGCTCTGTTCCCTGTGCCCGAAAAAGATCCTGTAGTAACTGATCCTAAAAATACCCACAATCCTTCAGCTCCTCCAGCCAAGAAGTGGAGTCTGACACCCTCCCTGTTATGAAACCCGAACTAACCTTGCAACTTGCTTGGGCCAAAAGAATATGGCAGGTGTGACGCCGTGACAGTTGTGAGCCTAGGCTTCTGTGACAAGCCTGGGCCAACCTGCTGGAGGAAGAGAGACACATGGCCCAGTTGTCTTCACCACCTCAGCCAGCAGTTAGCCAACCTCCATATACGTGAGTGAGGCTGTTCTGAACTCATCAGCTGAAAGCTCAGATCCATGAGAGACTCCAGCTGAGATCAGCCATGCCTTGCCCAGACCAGAAAAACCACCCAACTAATCTACACACTCATAGATAAATCAATGTTTTAAGCCACTACATTTGGGGGTGGGGGTTGTTATGCAGCTATAGCTAACTGATACAGTTCCCAAGTGAGGTCTCAGAGTGTGGAGGATCTCTGGGTGTAAAATGGGAACCTCCTACTTATTTTTTAGAGAGTGCCCTGAGTGGCATCTAGGTATTGGTGACAATGAGAGGGATTGCCACAGCTCCTACGCAAAAACTAAGCAGGTGTAGTGGAGCTGGAGTTTGGAGAACAATGGAAGCCAAGCTCTGAACAGAGTAGTTTTCAAAAAACTCCGAGGGAAGGAGGTAAGACAAGACGGTGACCGAGCTTCAGAGGGTGAGGCAGGAGTCATCAATGACGTGAGCAGCTGTGGGTGGCCTGGGGTGATTTATTCCTAGAAACCTCTGAAAGAAAGCTGACTCATGGAGATAAACCTTTTAGCAAATGTGTCTGGAAATATATAGAATTTTTTTTTAAATTTCAGAATATTAGTGGGGTACAAACGTTTTGGTTACATAATTTGCTTTTGTACAGTTTGAGTCAAAGTTATGTGCACCCTTTCTTCACCCAGATAGTGTGCATCGTGCCCGTTAGGTGTCAACCAAAGAAAAAAAGACATTTTATAAAAAAGTCACGTGCACTCAAATGTTTATAGAAATATAGATAATTTTTAAATGTTTGCTGCTCTAAATGATTACAAGCAGAGATGTGAATGGTTTATTGAGCACAGACTATACCAGGCTCTTTCCTAACATTCCCAGAGCCGCCCAGGGCTGAGCTGGGGGTGTGTCTCTGTCTTACAGGTGGGCAAACTTCACCAAAGAGGTTAGGTAACACGGCCGTGACAATTCAGCATGTCATCTCATTCCAGGTCTGCCGGACGTTAAACTGTGCCCACTGCCTGCAGAGCCCCCTGGGAGTGGGGAGCATATTTGGAGATTTGGAGATGCTCTCGAGACCGAAGAGTACCATTGACCAAGGACAGACAGGCATGCGAAGGTATGAGGAAGACTCATTTGAGCAGTCACGGAAAGGGGACCATGACGTATTAAGGGGAACGCAAGTTACTTAAAATGACTCACTCATCAAATGCCAGGCATGGTGCTCGGTGCCACAGACAACAGAACAGACAAAACCATCATCCCCCTGGAGTTGACATTCTAATGGGAGGAAGCACAAAACAAAGGTTAATAAATAAAATATATATTAATAGGAATCATATGAGATTGCCGTTTGTTTAGGTTGCAAGCTGGCTGAATACAGGCAATTTGATATGGTTCAACCCAATAGGATGTTAGTTTCTTGATGAGTGCTAGGTGAACACTAAAGCAAGGGAAGGAGGTGAGAGGGCTGGGGAGAGGTCGGACTTTAGGTAGGGTGGTCAGGGAAGGCCTCACGACAAAGGTTAAGTCCAGAAAGAGGTGAGGCTGAGAGCCATGGGGTAGCTGGGAGAAGACCATTCCAGGCAGAGGGAACAGCCAGTGCAAAGACCCTGGGGTGGGATGGATTGAAGGAGTGGAGTGAGCAAGTCAAAGAGAAAGTGGGCTGGGTCAGAGTGCACAGGGCCTTCTAGGTCATGGACAGGACTTTGGCTTTTACTCGGATTGAGGCAGACATCCACTGGAGGGCTGCACGACCTGACATATGTTTATGAAGGACCACTCTATGGCATTTAGAACACTCTGGAGGAGCAAGGGAGAGAACAGAGACCAATTGGGAGGCTGTGGCACTAACTA